GTTTGTATCTTTTTTTGTGATTTCTATTTCTTTACTGATATTCTCTATTTGGTGAGACATTAGTCTATGGTTACATTTAGTTCTTTAGATATGGTTTCCTTTATGTCTTTGAACATATTTAGTTTAACTGGTTTAAAGTTTGTCTAGTAAGTTCAATGTCTGGGCTTTCTCAGAGACAGCTTCTATTGATTGCCATTTTTCCTATATATAGACCATACTCTTTCTATACATACATATGCATACATGTATGTATGTATATATATAATTATCACAACAACAAAAAACCAAACCCATTGCCACTGAGTTGATTCTGACTCACATCAACCCCATAGGACAGTAGAACTGCCCCATAGGGTTTCTAAGGAGCAGCTGGTGGATTTGAACTGCTGACATTTTGGTTAGCAGCCAAACATTTAACCACTGCGCCACTAGGGTTCTATATATACATATACATACATATGAGTGTGTGTGTGTGTGTGTGTGTGTATGTGTTATTTATATATATATACACATATATATGTATATATAAATAGATACATATAAACACACACACACACACACATATATATATATATGTAAAACCAAACCTATTGCCATCAAGTCAATTCTGACACATAGCAACCCTACTGGACAGAGCAAAACTTCCCCATAGGGTTTCCAAGGCTGTAATCTTTATGGAAGCAGACTGCCACATCTTCCTCCCATGGGACACCTGCAGGTTCTAACTGCTGACCTTTCCTTTAGCAACAAAGCTCTTAACTACTGTGCCACCAAAGTTCTCTCTGTTGCTATATATGTGTATATATGTGTCTGTGTATGTATAACCATAAACCAAACCTAAACTGTTGCCATAGAATCAATTCCGACTCATAGTGACCCTATAGGAAGAACTAGAACTGCTCCATAGGGTTTCCAAGGAGCAGCTGGTGGATTCGAACTGCTGACCTTTTGGTTAGCAGCCATATCTCTTAATCACTGTGCCACCAGGGCTCAGTATGTGTGTGTGTATATATATATATTTGTATGTATGTATATATAGGAGCCTAGGTTCCACATCTGTGTGTGCGTGTGTGTGTGTGTGTGTGTGTGTGTGTGTATGGCAACTTTGGAAATCTTGTTCTCCTTACCCCTGAGTTTGCTGTTGTTCCTGTTTGTTGTTTATTTTTATTTTGTTTTGTTTAGTGACTTTTCTGAAGTAATTCTGTAATTCTTTGTGGTACATGGCCACTGAAGTCTCTACTTAATTGAAGTGGCTTCTTCCAGTGGCTACTGGGCTGTTCTGGGAATATGTGTTTTAGTTTTTCAAAGTTACTGTGAAACTAGGAAGTGGCCTATGGGATAACGGTCAGTTAAAATACAATAAAACTCACTGTTTTTACTGAAATTTAGGCATTTTTCTCCTCGAGATGCTGAAAATCTTTGCTCAATTTCTTAAGTTCTGAAAAAGTTGATACTGACAGTTATCACCTGTTTTTTTTTTTTTTTTTTAATTGCTTTTTGTGGAGCAGGAAATTTTTGAAGGTCTTTATTTGGCCATTTATGGAGTCGACCGTATGGTTTATTGCATATTTTATGCTCTCCTAAAGTGACCCACCTAGCCCTTTGTCACTAACATAGGCATTAATTGACCTGGCAGCATTTACTTACAAGCTGCTAGTAATTATGAGGGATTGTTGTCGTTTGAGGGTGTCCTTTAAGAGGTTAAGTTTTGGCAAATATATTTTGGTTGTGTTGACCTTGTTAGTTTAATGGATGGGCTTGAGAGAAAATTTATGATTCAGAGGAAATAGAATTTAGTCAATAGACAAAAATTACCAACTTGAAGGAATTTGTATCTAAGACTATTATTTCTTCTCTGTTTTCTGAACTGAGCCATATTTCTGTCATGGATGAACACACTTTTCTCTTTCCAAAAGTTTTGACATTTTAACATTTGCTTCTGGCCTTAGACCTTGTCATGATTATCCATTCTTATGTATCCAGTGTTGCAGTCTGAATTTTTTGGAAACATCCTTGAAACTGATATTATCTCACTGCTAAAATACTCCTTTTTTTGAGTTTCTCTGAGCCAATTAGTTAGTCTGTAGCATGCAATAGGATTTATGTTTCTTTTTCTCACATTCAGCCCCACAAACCAATTAGAACTTGAGAAACGGAGGAACTTCAAGTCTGGCTATCGGTAGTTGTGGAAAGTGAGGTTGAAAATTCTACTTTGTCTTTTCTGAGGATCAAGATTGGTGGAATTCTCTGCCAGAGTTAGTGGATGTAGTCCTTAAAACTTGATTCATAGTATTTGTTGCTTTCATATTTATGTATTTCCCTTTTTATCATCAAACTTGGTTTATTTTGGGTTTTTACTCCAACACTTAATGTGGTTACTGAGAAAAATATGTTCTAAAAGCTGTCTAACATTTAAGATTATAAATAAAAGCATGCTGTGTGTTCTTATTTTGCCATTTTTGAATTGACAATTTATAATGAGATTAACTTAAAGATATACATATGTATTTTTGCTTTTGTAGATGCAGTCATAGAATGGGAATTTATGAATCATATAAACAAATTTAAATGAATATGGTAGAGATTAATAAAAGACATGGTGATGTGTGTATGTATGTGTGTGTGTGCGCACAAGTGTGTCTGTGTTATATGTGTATTACTAGTCTGCTTCAGGAGTAAGAAGAGAGAATATTGGATACACTTTTTTGTTATCAGCTCCATCAATTCTCTTCTCGATGGTTAGAGGCAGTGGTAGGAAGGAGTGTCAGATGAGGAAATGGGCATGTGAGAAAATCATAGATCTGTTTTTTTCTCTCATACTCATAAATAGGCATAGTGAGTAAAGCTCTCCGGAAAGCAAGAGAAATTTCGTTGATGTGGTATTCATCTCTAAGGAAAATTTCCATATGTGAGTTAAAGAAATTCTATACTCATACAATAAGGATCATGGTAAAATGGAATGTGCATTAAAAAAATGTTTACAACTGTCACTAAGTTGAAATTAAAATTAGAAAACAGATATTACTATTTGAAGGTATATCTTGGACGCTTTTTTTTTTTTTTTTTTTTGGTCCAAATTACTTTACTTTACTAAAACAAATGTCAAAGGATTTCAGGTTGTTTCTGAATTTTAAACTTACTTTCTACTCTAACCTGAAGATTAATCTTTATTTAACTTTCAAAAAAATTCCAGAATAATTTACTGTGCCATAATGGCTACCAAATGACATGGTTTATGCTTGTAAAACATTCTGCTTAAATATTTAAATATTATTTATTTGTGTGAGCATTGCAAAATACTATTGGAAATGCTACTTTATTATTTAATACCTTAATGTGTCAAATATGATTTTTAAGACCAAAGTTTTTTAATAAATGTGATTAATTATAGTAATTTTCTTGATGAATGAAAATAATTTTTTCTGCACATATCAGGGATGCTTTTTGTTAGGTGAATATTTATAAACAATCACTCAAGGTTTGTTGAATGCTATTACCATTTGTATTGCCAATAATATTATTTAAAACTTAAAACAATATATCCATATGGCTCCTTGTGCTTATTTGATTATTCTGTTGCTTAACATGCTTTACCTGCTGACTATGAAGCTAGAGAAAACTAATGATAGTCCACATATATCACCATGATACCAGCTCTTCATCCAAATTATGTTTATACAAAATTCTAGTGGCTTCATTCCCGGAACAATAGTCTGTAATTGCAGTGATTTCAATTATGTCTCTGACTGTATTTTTAAGCAGTCATTAATGTCATTGTTTTCCGTTTTATTAAGGTATAATATTGGATAGAAATAGGGAAGAAGAGGTTTCTTTGTTTTTGTAATTTTACTACTGATTCTCTCAATGTTGGGACAATTACATTTGATTTCCAATCGAGCTTTAAAATGCCACTGAATCTCTCAGGTAGCTATGTCATCATAATCATCACCAACATAAATATTTCCATTTCTTTTTACATATAGGAGCAAATCAAAGAGTTGCTGAAAACAATAGTTCTCAGATTGTACACTATAACCCTTGTAAAGCTATGGAAGAAATCTATGAAAGCCCAAGGAATGTTCACCATTTATTTCAAAGGCCTCTAAACAGTGAGAATCCGCTGTCATAGTCAGTACTGCGGCATGCAGGAGAGCAGCAGAGCTCAGAGTTGTTTCACTAAACCTGGGGATATTGGGACTAATTTATGCAACTCTTTCTGAACAAACAGCCAACCATTATCTCTTTTGAATTCTTCGTTGGGTGTTTATTTTGGCAGGCGCTCCCCAATATGAGGTTTTCTCTGGGTACTGTCTTTGCAGGGTTGTAATTTTTTATGTTGTTAGCTGCCGTTGCGGTGGCTCCTGACTCGTGGTGTTCCCACGCACAATGGATCAGACTGTTGTGACTCAACAGGGTTTTCACTGGCTGATTTTTGAAAGTATATCACCAAACCTTTTTTTCTTAATCTATCTTATTCTGGAAGGTCCGCTGCAACCTGCTTAGCATCACTGCAGTTATGTTAGATGTGGTAAATTGGACCGTGGACTGTAGCCCATAATAGTGGTATGATGTTATTGTGTGCCATCAAGTTGATTCTGACTCATAGTGACCCTATAGGACAAAGTAGAATTGCCCTATAGGGTTTTCTAGGCTCTAATCTTTACAGGAACAGATTGCCAGGTCTTTTCTCCTGTGGAGTGGCTGGTGGGTTAGAACTGCAGACCTTTTTGTTAACAGATGAGTGCTTAACCCTTGCCTCACCGGGACTCCTCTAATAGTAATACAGGGAGTATAATCACAATTAGTTATTTCATTGGGGAAAATAATGAAGTGATAAGTATCACACCATTTGCAAAAGCAATTGGTTGGTTATATTTTTCATTTATATACAAAAATATATTGACCTAAACTGGAGGTAGGTCTGAATTATAGCCTGATGTCTTAAATACGTTTGCCAGCAATCCCTCTGAATCTAACATGCTGACTGTTGTTTTTTACAGCCCATTTCCTCTCATTGGTCTCCAGATTGGATTCTACTTCCTCAAACTTAAGAAGCAGAATTTTCCTTCCGACTAATAACCAAAATGCTTGTCAGGTATTTAAAAGCACACTACTTTTAAAATACATTTCACGTTTGGGAAATTCCTTATTATAATTGTTCAGACATTATTTATTTTTTCACAGATTACATTTTATCACTTCTTTAGCCAAGTGAGTGGACAGTTAATGGTGGGCCTTCAAACTGCCTGTGATAGTCCTATTCAGCATTTGTGGCAAAACACAGCTGGGCTCAAAGATGCATGGGAGAGAAATGTCATCAAAATCCATAGCTCACAGAGATTTCAGGTAAGTGTGTTCTATTCTCTAGCTATGCCTCTGAAGGAAAATTGATAAGATACAGCTTTTTAAGATGTGGTGAGCTGAAAGTAGGGTGACTACCCATCCCAGTTAGCTGAGAATCGAGGGGTTTAGCAGAATGCGGGACTTTCAAGTGTTAAACCACAGAGTCCCAAGCAAATCAGGATGGTTGGTCATCCTAAAAGACAAAAAAAAAAGAAAAGAAGATTTTGAATTTATATGTATCAAAACTAAAGTTAATATACTTTAAGATATATTGATGTTCTTGTAATATTTGATAATTCAACATTTACTCTTTGTAGGTGTAAAAACAGAATGGGGGAGGTGTCTGACCTCCTCCAACTCCACAAGAGGGAGGGAGAACTAAGATCAACAGCCCAAGGCTGATTCGTATGAGATGGAGGTCAGATGTGCCTCCTCTCTCCACCATCTCTATCAATTCTGACAGGAACTATCACTCCCTCAGCACTCGCTACTTCTCTGCTGGGTTCGATTATTCATTGCAATGACTACACATAACTCATAGACCACACTCACGATTATGGGGTTTATTAGGGAAGTAACAGTTACAATTCAGGCTCATGAACACTTAGGATACAGTTCTTCCATCAGGATAGCCTCTTCCCAGCTGTGCTCTCAGGTTCGCCTCTCACTGGCCCTCAGTCTCTGTCCAAAGGCACTCAGCTTTCTTTCTCCGTGTGCCAGGAAGCCATCTCCTGTCTCCTGCTGCCAAGTCTCTCCTGCTGGTCTCTCCTTCCTTGGTGATGGTGGGCTCTTCCTCCCTGCTCTGGAATTAGCTCTCTTTTAAAGCAAAACTGACCAGTCCCCTTGGTAGGCCACAATTACCCTATCACACAATCACCTGGGTGGAAGTTACAAGACCTTAGCTAGAAGGGCCACACACACCAATAATCGTACCGCAGTAGGTTATTGGGTGTCAGTGGGCAAGGCCTTTATCATTGTCCTTGCTTCAAGGAAGATTCAAAAATGAATAATAGGTGATGCCACAGTGCTTATAATCTCATATTTGACTGGGCAGCATGATCTGACTTTCTAATTGTCTCCTTAATTTCTTGAACGTCTCCATTTTCCACCCTGTTTTTCTCATTGTTTCATCATCCTTTTCCTTTTTATTTCTTCTTCGCAAGAATCATTTTCCTTCCAGACTTTTCTTATGCTTTCTAGAGAAGAGCGTAATGTTGAGAAATGAGGAAAGAGGCTGTTTGATTTAAATACTAATTTCAGATGCTGTGAAGTAGAATAATTGTCATATTTATTCCACGGCTAAACCCAAACTATTCAATACAACCTTTATTTTCCAAAATAACTTGGAGAATTAAAGCTAATGCAAGCTGATAAAAGATGAAGTTATTTATGCAACCTAATAAAACTTAAGCATAGTAGAATTATCATCTAATGATTATTACAAGAGTTCTTAGAAAAGTATTGCCTATTTTAACATTTGGGACAGCCAGGCAAAATTTTGCAGTTAAAAACAAGATCTTAAAGCATTTTATCCTTAATGAATTTATTTCCTAAGACTAGTCTGTGGGCCAATTTAGCCCAAGTAGATTTCTTTAATCTTCTATTAGTAGAATGATATAATACTAAATTTTATAAATTTGATATGGAGTAGAAAATCATCTGATATGTGATGAATTTCGCGCTTGCTTATATATAGGAATTGAATTGGATTGAATTTTAACTTCAGTTATTTGACTAGCTAAGAGGAAAGGGATAGAAGAATGAGCAGGAACTCTACTATAAAAGTTGAATTGCAAGTTACAGGAATGACACATTTTCTTAACTGATATACCATAAAATGACTATAATTTGAAATTTCCAGCCTTTGGTAAACTAATTGGGGATCCAAAGAAGGATAAAGAAATTCAGTTAGTAGGTGGCTTAGTGATGCTTAGCTGCTAGGATTTAAGAGAAATTCTATAGTTGGAACCACAGTTCTGTAGTTTGAGGTTTTGCACTCTGTTGCTATCAGGATAAGGGGACATACTAAGCTATCAAGCTTAAGACTGTTTAAGTCTTAGCAGGCTGTTAAAGTCTTTCTATGAATGATTGATTCATTTACTTAATAAAGACTTATTTGGAGCACTTGGGAACCCTGGTGGTGTAGTGGTCAAGAGCTACAGCTGTTAAGCAAAAGGGTTGGCAGTTCAAATCCGCCAGCCGTTCCTTGGAAACCCTATGGGGCAGTTCTTCTCTGTCCTCCAGGGTTGCTATGAACCGGAATCTACTCTAAGGCAACAGTTGTTTTATTTTTTAGGCACAATGCAGAGACTGTTCGCAGGACTATAATGAGAGAATATTTTTGACAGGTAGGGGGAGGAGATACTCTTTGTTCCTGGGCCCTGAAGGAGTCTGTGGTTTTTCTGGGGAAAGCTGTGCAGAATGAGTACCCAAGAGCACCAACAAACAATGCAGAGACTGTTCGCAGGACTATAATGAGAGAATATTTTTGACAGGTAGGGGGAGGAGATACTCTTTGTTCCTGGGCCCTGAAGGAGTCTGTGGCTTTTCTGGGGAAAGCTGTGCAGAATGAGTACCCAAGAGCACCAACAATGCAGCTAATCTGCTAGGGATGTTCAGGTGTTCTTAAACACAAGAGAAGTTTCTAGTTTAGCTCTTACATTTCTCTTCTTGCCTCTGTGGCTCCCTGTTTGTTTTATCAACAACAATAAAAGCAACAAAACAGAGCCATGATTCCTTTTGAAGGAACTGAGTCACGTTGATGAGATTCTGAGGGATGAACTTGCTGAAGTCCCTTTACTCTCCATCCTTGTATACATTTTACTGACTGAGATGGAAATCTTTTCTATGTCTATACTGTATTGTTATTTACAGATATTTTTAAACTTTAAAATAGAACGAGTGATAAAAGAGTCTAAACTATCAAACTTCTTGTCTTTTTTTATCTAACTGTCCGTATCTTCAGGTCAAGGTCTCTACCAGTAGCACAATGGAGAATTGAATGTTGGAAAGGGTTGCAACTTGTTGAATCCTGTAGGTTAATCCTTTTAGAATAACTTCTTTGTTTTCCTCAGCTGCCCATTCCCAAACGGCACATCATAGAGGCTGATGATTAAATATGTGCAGTAGCTAAACAGAAAACTTCAAACTCCAGAATATGCCGTCTCCAAAGCAGTTCAACTGTAGCTAAGGCAGCAAGGTTATTCACTTGAGTGCTTTAAAATGCAGCGGTGGCTTCAACTATAGCAGCGGCATGTGCAGTATATTAATTTGTTTCCCAGAAGATTTTGTTGCTGATGTAAAAACAGTGTTTGTACCTTAAAGGCTTTGTAAAAATTAGGAGACCATATGATTCTCTCGGAATGCTTCAGCTACACCAATATTTAAGATTGCAGGTATGTTTTAATTCTCTCCTGTCAGCAAGTGGCCAGATATTCATGTGCTTTTGTTTGGCTGGGCTGCAGGGATGTGCTCGTCCTTGTAATACTGCCCACCACCATCTACTAGCTCATTCCTGAAAAGCTTAGTGAGAGGCTTATTTGAGGGAATTTTGTAATCAGCGTCTTCAGACAGTATCTGCTGCCTCATCAATTTACAAGCCCCTAAGGATTATTCCATTTTCTGCAGTTTCCCCTGCATGCTGACTTCTGATGGTTTAAAGCCATTCATGTTTCCTTTAGAAATAAAGAGGAGATTTCAGTCTCAGGTGGACCCCTGGCTTTGCAGGAGATTTTGAGAAAGCCTCTGGACCTGGCTCTCACCTTGGATCTTTATTACCTTTATCTGCAAATTACTAAGTCCATCCATTAATAAAAATGAAGCGTGTTAATTTCTGAAGGGATACAGCTACATAACAAGGAATGGTGATTAACCATTTAAAGTCAACAAAGATGGCCGCAATTCAGAAAGTTTCTGAAAATCTTAAGGAATAATAACAAGCAGCATTTATTGAGTGCTTACTGTCTGCAAAGTGCTATATTCAATCCTTTTTATACATTGTCATGTCATCTTGACTCCTCAAGACAATTCTCTGAGGCAGAATTATAATTCACTCCATTGTTCAGTGAGGAATGTGAACTTTAAAGAGCTGCATAATCTACCTAAATCACATACTAGTTTAGAACCTGGGGTAGTTTGGTTTCAGACTTCGAGCACTTAATCACTGAGCCACAATAATATTTTCTTTTTATCACATTAAAAAACTTATAAGGATATATTCAACATGGCAGAGAAATAAAACAACCTCCTCATTTGGTCTAATTTATTGCATGGAGCTCATTAAATACTCTTTTGTCTGCTGTGCTGGATGAGAGAACAGTGTTAGGCTTTGCATGATGCTGATTAACTGCAATCACATTTTTCAAAATTACAGATATAAACAATTTTATTCTTGCCCTAAAATGTTCAAGGAGGCAAAGAATAAAGCAGGATAAATATATTGCAAAAATTTAGTCACAAATTTAAGTGAAACCACCCACCAATTTTTCTCTGGAAGTGTACTCGTACATTGGTTTTATGGATTTTAATATGGGTAGGAAGGAATGAATACTAGTTTACTAAATACATCACTGATTATGGTTATCAAGTTGAATGTTTGCACTGTTAAACTGAGCAGTTGGTGCCTGAATTTTGAGAAGATACTGAAGTATTTTTTTTCCTTTTTTAAATTATTGTACTTTAGATAAAGAACAAACTAGCTTCTCATTAAACGGTTAGTACACACATTGTTCTGTGACATTGGTTATCAACCCTATGACATGTCAATGCTCTCCCTTCTTGACCTTGGGTTCCTTATTACCAGCTCTCTTGTCCCCTCCTGCCTTCTAGTCTTGTCCCTGGGTTGGTGTGCCCTTTAGTCTCGTTTTGTTTTATGGGCCTGTCTAATCTTTGGCTGAAGGGTGAACCTCGGGAGTGACTTCATTACTGAGCTATAAGGGTGTCCAGGGGCCATACTCTTTGGGTTTTTTCAGTCTCTGTCAGGTCAGTAAGTCTGATCTTTTTTG